GTGTCCTCAGAGTCCAGAGGTCAGGTCACAGTGACTCAGCCTGCAGCAGTGAGAGCTGATCTGGGAGGATCTGTTACCATCAACTGTAGAACCAGTCAGAATGTACATAACTCTAACCATTTAGCCTGGTACCAACAGAAAGATGGAGGAACTCCCAAGCTGCTCTTTTACCATGTTGGCAATCGAGTCTCAGGAACTCCAAATCGGTTTAAAGATGGTGGATCAAACTCTGACTTCACTCTGACCATCAGTGGAGTTCAGGCTGAAGATGCTGCTGTTTACTACTGTCAGAGTTACCACAGTGGTGGGGTGCTCACACAGTGAAAAACAGTCGTACAAAAACCTCCCTCAATCAGACTGAACTGAAACTCTAGCCAAATCTCACACAGACAAACACGGAGAGTAACAGTCATTTTTTTTTAAATTTCTTTTCTCACAAATATTTTTTAATGAATAGTTTACATTAACATTTGTATTTGACTGGTAATTTTGAGGTCATTCATAGGCTTGTATGTTTTCATAAACTTTGAACAACGTGGAGATATAATTTTAAAAAGAATGTAATAAAATGTCAATATCATAGATGTATAGATAGGTATAGATGCAGGAAAACCATCCTAACAATCAGATAATGATGTTTCTCTCCTGGCTCAGAGCTAACTTCCTGCTCTGAAAGGAGTGACTTTAAACAGTGATGCAATATTTTAGCCTTAATTTTACCTGAATAATCAACATAACATTGATGGCAATTAGAAATAAAAAAATCTAGTGAGCAAAATATCAGATGAATAGCAGGTTGGTTAGACCAGAAATAGATTTGAGATCTAGTTTGTCGTCATTTTGTTAAAATGGTTTAATCACAGTAAATTAAACTTTGACTTCACTTCATCATTAATAAAGTTCAGGCTGAAGATTCTGCTAGAGCGCAAACTTTCAACAATCAATTTGTGTTCAGTGAGACTGAATAGACACATAACTGAAGGCTGTCAGTGCTAACTGAATGCAAATAACAACAGCAAAAAACCTTTTTATTTATTTGCTATCAAAGAAATGGTTTTCAAACAACATTTATCATATTTACCAGAGATAAAGACTAAACATAATCAAACAATAAGAGATATATCCCAAATTAATTACATTTGATAAATATAAAAATCAATAATCTTTGTTAAGAAATTGATATTAAATACTAAGTTTATTATATATTACATAAGTGAATTATCTTTAAATACAGCTCATCGCCAAAGATAAATCATTCTAATTCTTGGTGTGGGGTGATAGAACTGCTTGGGCCCTGAGCAAAGAGGGGGATTGGTTCCTGGGCTCAGCCTACCTGGTTGGAGTGGCAGTGATTCTGGTTCAGGTTGGGTTCTGAACCTTGTGTCTTGCTTTGTGCCTCTTCATCCTGGGGGCTGATGGCCTTGATGGCAGCCTACAGAGAAAGACACTTGCATTTGTACACAATACTAAATATGCATGGTATTAATACTAAAGACAAGTGTTGGTTGCATATTTTTGTATTGTTAGTTTAAAATATCTGGATGATTTGCTCCTTAAAAGAAAAATAACCCAGACAACATGTTTCCTAAATGATATAAATTATGAATTAAATTGTGAAGTAGTGTAACAACAAAACACATTACTCCTCAAGAAGTGAATCATTTACTGCATGGTGTGGATATATAGATGCTTATGTATCAGAATTAAGAAAGAAACATTATGACTGTGTTTGACTGACTCTTTGTGTTTGCATGTGTCCTGCCTCTCTTCTCCCAGATGTTAAGATGTCAATGTTGATCACAGGCTGTCCAGGTCTTTCAGAGCCACTGAATATCCAGCAGCAAAATGATGAAGCTATTGACTAGCTACTGCTGACCATCCTGGAGCTTGTGGTTCACGGTGACACTCTCTAATTAAAGTTGTTTTATGGTATTTTACTATGTCAGGAATGTCACCAGCACACCTTCTTTCACATTTACTTTATGTGTATTCTTTGTTTTCTTCTCTTCCATGATGATCAGGAGACATAATCCTGACTCAGACTCCAGGATCTCTGTCCGCTGAGCCAGAACAGACTGTCTCCATCAGATGTAAAGCCAGTGAATATGTCAGCACTAATGTAAACTGTTATCTTCAGATACCTGGAGAAGCTACTCAGCTCCTCAATGCACACAAAACTCAGTGCTATAAGACTCTGACCTATCATGTGTCTGCCACCCCAGCAGCAAAGCTAAGCTCCTGATTGCTGTTTTGTTTTATCAACCTGCTGCTCCTCCCTTGCTGCAGCATGGATTCCTATTAGATAGATGATTCACAGACGATCACACTGATGGGCATCAGAACTGAGTGTCATGGTCTTGGTTCTGCTGTTCTTTACTTTGCTCCTTGTTTTCTAGATTTATTGGTTTAATTCCAGTTTTGTTGTATTTCTAGATTTAATTCAGCTCGCATGTTTTTCTGTTGTCCCCTTTTGCCCTCTT